TTCGGCACTCTTGTTACTAATTGTAAGACAGTAAAGAAGGGCGCGCCCCAGGGATGAAGAGATAGGCATAATGGCAAGCCCGGCTTCGTCTCAATCACCATGGTCTGTGTCTTCAAAATATGTGGAGAGCAAAGGAAAAGAAAGAAATCCGAAAGAAGTTTGAAGAAAATTCATGCGATGCATTCAAGGATTGCATTTCTCAAGCAAATTTAGTTATACATATATAGAATTGCAAGGAAATGAATTCATTTCTTCGCTGCAGCGGATGAAGGAGATGCAGCAGCCACGATAGGAATGGTTTTCTTTTTCGGGTGGTCCTTAATGTGCTTTGGCGCTTCCACAGACAAATGGCCTTTTTCGTCAACTTGTGTGCTGACTGCATCCAGATCGACATTTTCAGGCAATAACCACTTGCGAGCAAATGATCTGAAATTTGTTAGTGATTTCCAGAACAGTGCTAGTTTTCAGGAGTTTTACACCCTCGTTCGCTGCGGATGATGGGGCGTGTCAGGCCGTCTGGATTTAGCACAGCGTCAGCCCGTTTTCCACCATTGCTGTGGCTTGCCCGCTTCAAAAATCGGTGGAAACGGCTGGCGCCGCGTCAGACCCAGCCCACTTCCCTGATACTTCCCCCCCCCCTCCCCGGTCTTCGGACAACTTGAACTCAATCCCTTTGAACGCGTCGATCTTCTCTTTTTCTCTGCACTCTCTCGTCGGCACTCTATGGCCGTTGTGACTTCGCTCACTCCAGCTTTTCACCGACTATAAGTAGCTCACCCACCCCGGAGTCCCCTCCCCTTGAAAAATCCCGTTTCCTGGCTCGCCATACGTTTTTTGCACGTTTCGATGCTTTGGCAGCCGCTGCCCTCTATCCGTCTGCGTCACAGGGTTTCGTAACAGGACCATGCACAAAAGTTCAAGATGTCACGTAACCCCCCCCCTTCGCAGCATCCACAGCGAACAAAACTATACTTATACTTACCTATGCAGGGAGCTGTTCTTGGTTTTATGCTCCTGCTTGCCCTCAATGGTCAGTACTCGATCTTCCAAGTGCACATTTAGCTCTTCTGGGCGAAACTGGGACACATCCAGCGTGACGGCGAACTTCTTGTCGTCGTCGACAGCCTGAATGAGGCAAATATGTATATGTACCTTGGCATGGACAGGCACGACGACAGAATACGGCAGGGAAACGTACCTTCACAGTATCATTCGCCACATGAAGTACTGAATGATCAGCGTTTCTCCAGTACGGGAAAATGCTCCTTTCTACCAGATCAATATCTCGCATAGCATCGTACATCATAGCACGAGGGTTCACTAGCAGCAGCTCCATAGTTCACTGGCGTGCTGAGGGCGTTCTGAAATGCTAACAAAATTCTCAAATGGCTCTGGGGTGCAGAACATATAAAGCCGAGTGTGGGAGGAGCAACAGAAGCAATATCAATATATCATTATTAGAACATTGATATCAATAGAATAATATGTATCTGGCGCTGTTCGGCATTGAGGGGGCATTTTGCACTTTCGCTGTTTCCTTTTGTGAGTCCTTGTTAACTTACAGGTCTCACAAAGTCAGACCTACAAAACTCTTGTGAAGCCAAGGAACTGTTCGAGTGAGCCACTTTGGTCACAGGAGTTTACGGGTCAACACCGGGTAACCCGTACAAACTCATCTCTTTATCCCACGGTGAGAAGGGTCGTAATTGGCGGACCAAGTGACGCGCGTGAAAGCAATGGTCTCGAGAATTTCTGCTCCACCCTTATAGTAGTTGACCTGGCCAGGCTTCACTTTAGTCAGTTGAGTGTCATCAGGGTGTCGCAGCCCTTCTCAACTAAACACGCCCTCCAAAGGTAGATTCCCATCGTAACTACTGGCCAAGCTGCTGAAGGGAGATGGAAAAGCAAAAGGAAAGAGAGAAGGAAGGAAGAAAAGTGGGGAGGAGGGAAATTTCACACCTTTACAATTAGTTGCATCACTAGTTCCGGTTTACAAGTCTCACTCTGGTGAAACCTGTGAACTATCTTGTGAAGCTGGAGCAAGCTCGTCAAGCTATCATGGTAAAATCCTGTCAACTAGAGAAGAGGCTGTCTAGATGGCGGAATTACCAGAAAGTGACAAATCCCCCCCCTTTCGCCACCGCCTTCAATTCACCGTGCCGAAACCGACATCACATTTTTAGTAGAGCAGCATATCGAAAGTTGTGTAATCTGCGACCTTTCTCAGATATAACAAGCCTTTTCATAGGATCATCTAAATAGGAATTAGGAATTCTGATAAATGTTCAGAAAAATGGCAACTGGAGTATGCCTGCTGCTGGAAAGAGCTCATACTGGCGCAGCACACACCATCAGATCTGCAACGAGGCTGAAAACAACCATGGCACAGACTGCCAGGCTTAGTTCCCCTACATGCCTCGTTAAAACGTGCCGACCAGCGTAAACAACGGAACTCCGCCTTTCCTCTCCCAAAAACGACTCTAGCTGCCTGTCCAATTTCTCATTTGCTGATTCGACCATGTCCATTTGCTTTTCCTACAACACCTAATGCTGCCTCGTCTATGGATTCGACGTTTCTTTGCAGAAATCAGCGATATCGACCGAGCCCTACGTCGTCATTCAAGAAAAGAATCTATTGCAGTGGGTCAGTTAGACAAGGTAAGCGAGGCCCTACTCCTTCTGACTATTTCCATCACCAAGAAAACCCTTACAGATTGTTGATGACGATGCAAAAATGACGATTTCAATTGACGTCAGTAGGTTCAAGCCAGATGAACTCAAGGTGGATCTCGACGGTCGAGTTCTCACAGTTGAGGGGAAACAGGAGACCAAGGAAGAGCACGGCTACGCTATGAGGTAGGTCTTGTGAGCGGGTTTCAGAACGTTAGCGCCGCAGTCCGGCTTTCTGAGCACCAAAAAGGTACTTTAGCGCATTTCCTGCCACTTGCGTACTCAGTGATGCTTGAAAGGGTCGCCTTGTGAAGACTCGCTCAAAACAGTCTTGGTTTACAAGTCCCATCAAAATAATACCTGTGAAATGAGCAAGCAGAAGAAGGAACTTACGTCGCTCCCTCCCAAGCCGAACAGCGCCGAATATTGGAAAAGTCATAAGATTGACGTATTTCAGATCGTTCGTTCGTCAGTGGACCCTCCCGGAGGATGTCAACGTGGTATAGCTCGCATCCACTATTACTGAAAGGAAGGCATCTGTCCATCGAAGCACCAAAGCTGAAGGTGAAGCCAGCACTCAATGCCAAGAACATTCCGATTCAGAAGGCTGTTAAAGACCAATAAGCTTGTCTAAGTGTCTGTTTGTGAGCAATTCAATACAACTGTATCAAAAAGTTTACTTGATCGCCTTTTTTGTACCTGCTTCCTTGCCCAACTTTGTCAGAAGCTTGTTTTAAATTCCATTTTATCATTAGGTCCAATAAAGATTTTTTATTCAGGAGGTTGTGAAAGAACTGACAAGACGGTCTGTGCCGGGAGTGTTTTGAAACAAATACAGGCCATTAATAACAGGCTGTGAGTTAGGAGGACTCATTATCGGCCAGTACTGAAAATGGGGAACTGTGTTAAAATGGCGCTCTACACATTCTTTCAGTCGACTTTCTCGACCAAAAAATAGGTCCAGGTGAGAATGCCGCCCGCGCGCTGCCACCTTCCATCGCCACCACAACTGCAGTCTGGCTCTATGGGGCAGTTGGGGTTTTCCCACGTCGCGTTTTGAGCGCTGCGACAATCAGTGGAATAGCGGAAGTCCGGAGCGACTATCATTTCTACTTTAGCTCTCTCTGGCATCAACACTGCGCTGAGCACGATAATAGGCTGGCTCTCTACTCAATCCTCCAAGGACGCCTAGGAAGGAAAACGCCCATCAGAACCAGACTGCAGGTTTTCTGGACCGTCAGACGGGGGAGGCACTCCTGTACCATCCGTTTTACCCGGTCCAACACCTCTGGAAAAGGTGTTGCATAACCCTATACCAAGAAATGGTGTATAGTTGGGCAAGACCCAGTTGTTTCACACTGCAATATTTGGCACTCAGCCCTACTTAGCAATGCAGTAACGGCCAAAAAAAAACTGGAAACATCCCTTGTTATTTCAGTGCGGCCGGTAGTGGGCAGAATCATTTGAAATTCATTAACATTGCGTAGAGCCATATAGTAAGAATGAGAAGGACCACATTTCTTTGAGAGTAGATATTCTTATTTTCGTGATGCGTTTTATTTCCAAAATGGAATCACTTCAAAGTTGAACTACTCGCCAAAAAACAAAGGCAATCGGGCCGCTATACCTCGAATACAAATAGAGATTACTGAGAAGGCATAGTTACTGATGGCTAAAGCTACTATAGAAGAACTTATAACTTATCTTAAAGCTATCGGACTAGAGATCCTAGATTTTAGCTTAGGCTTCAGTATCAAACCATATTGTGCGTTCAGTATTAGAGTGCGGGACCACTGCTTTCAGGCTCTATCTAAAAAAGGATATTAATGCACTCGAAAGTGTACAGAACAATTTCACTCGCAACTAATGCTTAGATGATCAGGACTAAGTTACCTTGAAGGCAGTTGGCACGATGGTTTCCTAGTTAACCTAAAATGCTGGTAGGGTGCTGTATAGTGGGCAAATGGCGAAAGAACCGAGTGAAACGGTCAAAATCCTGCGAAAAAGCCTTTCTCAGTGACTTGTAAATCGATTTCGGACGAGTTTCCCGTAGGCATCTTACCAATCACCGCTACCGAAGATACGGCTGCATATGTGTACCCATGTATGCATGCAGCATCACGGCCGCTTCATACCAATCCCTTCGCTTCATAATTTGCTTAGCAAATGAATGAATACGAGCGTCAGGAACGGTCGTCCATTTGTGGGCGGGCGGGCAAGGAAGGCGTTTGGGACGTAAAGTTGTTGCTTAATAGGGCCCTTATATAAGGCCCACCTTCCTCGGGGAAACCGCTATGCAGCGCCTGCCCAGGGTCGCGGAATTCTATCCTGCCAGGAGTATTGATCCTAGTCGCCTTGGGGGATTTATCGTCT